GGGGAAAAAAAAAAAAAAAAAAAGGAAATGGGGACGGGGAGTAATGACAGTTTTCACTGGGATGTTAACCTGCTGTTGCCAAAAAACAAAGAAAACAAGGCAAGAGTTGGCCAATTGAAAAGGGGAAGGAGGCAGTCTGCTTGCCTTCCTCATTTATTTATGTAAATATTATACATATATATATATCTCACTTGTTTTTTAAGGTTTTTTTTAAGAAGCAGTCAGGGAAAATTTTATGCAGCCATGTAAATACAAGCACTGGATTAACTTTCCCAGTGTCAGCAAAAGGGGAGAAGTGGAAGAGTTTCCAATGAAAATATACAAATGCTTTAAGAGACTTTCAATTACCACCTGGGCTTGTGCTAGGTTTTTTTAAATACTACATATGCAGAAGGAAAGAACGATTCGTGCGTAACAAACCCCAAGCTGCTTTATTCCGACCATTCCCTAAAACTTGTGAGAGCCGAAGGCAGGGTGAGATGTAAATGGATCGAGGGGCAGAGCGGAGAGGCCAGGGTCTCGGGGTTTGCTTTTGGCGGGCAGGACAAAGAGCTCTGAGGTCAGACTGATGCCTTGCTCGCCTTGCGCCTTCTGAGGAGCAGAGGGTTGAAGCATTGTGCCTAAAGCAGAGCAAAAATGCTGAATATGCTGAATTTTGTCCCTTATTGCTGCAAAACCTTGGCCGTCGCTTCCAGAGACCCTCCATCCACCACACCACCCCGTGCGACCGCCCCTGAATCCCGGCTGCTTCTTGCTTTGCTTTTTCCAAAGACGTTCTGCCTGAGCTAGTGTTGCTGCGGCTCCTCCTGGATGAAAGTGGGGAAAGGACGGAAGCGGCTTTTCCTGCTGGAGCATGAAGGAGCAAGGGACCAGGAAGGTGAAAGGTTTGCGTGGGAAAACAGCGATCCCTAGGTCCTGTCGTGGCAAACGCACTTGGCTCTCGTGGCAGCCGCAGGAAATCGGGAAAGCAAACTCCTGGATTTTAGAGGGGCAAGCGTGCTCAGCGGCAAGAGCTCGAGATGCGCACGTGCTGTGGGAGAAGATCTTGTGTCAAGCAAGGGCGTGTGCTTCCCCGGCTTCGTCCCGTGGCTGATCTGTGCTGGAAATTCACCTGGAAACTTAGAAACAGTGCCCAGCCCTTCCCGCAAAAGCTAAGCGGGGCTTGGCAGTGGGACTAAGCTATGTCAACAGATTCTCGTAGGCAGCCAGGATGTGTAGATTGAGAGTAGTGTGGTAGACAGTGAATTACTCTTTCCTTGTGCTGGGCTGGTCTCCTCCTCAGCCAGACCAGCCGGTACGGTGCTGCCATCTTCCTCCTGGTGTTAGCAACTCCACAAGGCCTGGGCTTGCTCATCTCCCACCCCTCCCAGAGCAGCTTGTTGCATTGCACGGGCAGAATGAAGCCGCAGCGGCTCCTGCCCGGCCCGCCGGCCCCCCT